GCTGGGTCATATAGGTCCTTCAGAAAGTCCCAAACTTAACATCTTTTTTAACCAAGTATCCTATTATGTTTGTATCTTTGGCCTATATTTTCTGGATGACCAAAAGGTTTGGGCATATACTCATATTAAGACACTATCATGTTTTTCAGTTTTCTGAAGACAAAAGTCCAGCGCTCCCTGGGAATCAAAGAAGAAGATACTTTTAGGTTGGGAACAGCAACACCAAGAATTCACCAGTCACTTGAAAAATCTTGCCAATTCTACTTCTGTCTTTGATTTTGCTCAGTTTCAGACTAACAGTGCTCAGTGATTCTCACTGCTGCATTCATAACTACTAGTATCAGTATGAAATATTTTTGTTAGCTTTGCAAAACAAGACATTCTCTGTTGAAAGCCACTAAATTATGTACTTTGCCTCTGAAAACAATGCTTTTGTGTTCCTAAACAGTAAAGGCTCACTGCCTACCTTTGTTTTAACAAATGCACTAATTTTAGAAAGGGAGAGTGAAAATATATACTCATGCCTTGAACCAACTGTACCTTTGGGAGGCCAAGACCTTTTTGCAGAATACAAACTGTGATGCTGTTGCACTTGAGTGCTTGAAATGGCTCATAGTTCTTCATAATAACAAGCAAAATCAAACAGCCCATTTACTGGAAAACCTATCATGTAAGTGTAGCTATACCAAAGGAGGAAAAAAAAGGGTCAATGTAAAATTCTGCTTTCTAGAATGCTTTGCACATAATTAGCACTAATATAATTTGTATTTAAGACTGTGTCATCCTCCATGCCTGCAGCATTTTTAAGTCAGCCCAGTTTTACAACCTGGACAGATTTCTTCAAAATGTTCACCATAGAGGACAATTTATTCATGTATGTTTTCTAGTGGTTTGTAAGAACTCAGAATAGATTCAGTGTTTTTTTTTCTTGAACTCCACAGATGTGTAGTAAATTACTTTTTTCTGCAGACTGAATCTCATCATTGTCCCGTCTTCCCCCCCCCCCACAAGCTTTCAAAACTGTCAGGAATAACTCTTCCAGTAAACTATTTCCTAGATGGTATCTATCTTGCCACTCTAATATGCTCAAATGGATGAATTTCACATCCAAACAACAGAAAAAGGCTGTCAGATCTAAAGAAAACATATCCTTAATCCATGGTGAACAACATGTGTAGTTTGGTTATTGTAAAACCAAGCCTGTTTCTTGCCCCCACACTGCTGCATGGGTTGCTGACATTTGTAAAGGTACACAACTTTGAGTCAATGACATTTTCAGGGCTGACTTTCATAGTTTTTGGTCATTTTTGTTCAAGATGTGCTTATTCAGTAGGGAATTTAACATAACGATAATAGCTTAACATTGAAGAACTGCTGTGCCTGGAACTCTAGGGCCCCAGACACAGGAACTCAATTCAAAATTGATTAGTACAAAGCTGTTTAATACTCAAAGCCACAAAAGCGAACCTCCTTTCTCCTATACATTTAGGCTTTTTTTCTAATGGTTTTCTTTCTAAATCTTCCTTGAATAGCCTAATATGGAGCACCTTATTGGCTAAATGTAAGCAAACTAGATAAAACAGTCAGTAGCACTAAATGGGGCAAAGAGGAAGTCATCTACAAATAATTAAGTCAGCTAAACAGGATTCCTGACTGATTGACAAGGACTTAAGTAATAGAACATTTAAAACATTCATTACAATGACTGTATAGTGTGAAAGTGGAATGGATGACTGCATATATTTTAAAGTCCTGTTACACCAGCTATTATTTGTTCCCAGGGACCATTCTTCAAATAAGATAGGATTCTTGGGGCCATGGTCTCCTCAGCATCCAAAGGGCTGTGTAAGAGCTCTGGTGAATTTAAGTTACTATTGTTATAATTAGGAAGACATCTAACAGCCTGAGCTTCAGAGAAACATTCCACTAGCAAGGTCCCCTGATGAACTTTCCTTAAATGGCCTCTTCCCTACAAAAAGGGACTCTTTCCCCTGCACATTTTCTACTGAAAGGAAAGTGGGCTGGAGAGGGGGGCATTGGTTTGTTATCCATCTCCATCATCTAAGCATGGAAAGCTGGTCTGTCTGCAGGTGTGGCACGTACAAGGAACCTCTCCTTTTTCTTCCTTTTGGGGAGAATCGGGTATAGGATTTTCTCCTCTATTTTCATCAATGGAACCACATGTTTTTTCCTTGTCTCTCATCTGTACACAGAAAGATTTCCTCCATCTTCTCCTGCACCTCACTGCAGTACTGGTCAAAGTAAGGGTTGACAATGATTTCTTCTCTCACCCTTAACTCTGCTGAAGGCAGATGGATCATGCTACACAAAGTAGCAAAGACTAAACCAGGTAAAAACCTCCTTCCTGTTTTGGGACAAACAGAACGGGCATGTCTCCATGTGCAATTTGCAGTGATAAACTCTGGTGCATCTTGTGCCAGAGTTCATTGCTCTCAGGCGCTGCATTTGAACTTGCACCCTGAACTGCAGCATGCTGAACCAGGTCAGGGCATCCTTGGCTGGCAGAGTCCCAAGGTTACCCTTTCAGCCTGGGGCTGCTCCAACCTGGTTCAATGTGCTGCGAAGGAGCTGGCTAGCCAGCATGCAGCCCCAAACTGAAGCACCCTCATGACACTGTACGTACCCATGCTGATGGGGCTGGCTTCGCTATGCACAAAAAAATTCTGCAGCAGGATAGTACTTGTATTTACAAGTACACCTGCTCCAGAGTTTATTAGTTTCCTTTGACCTAACAGGGCTACACGTGTAGATGCCAAGGTGTTTACTGCAGAGCTAATTAGGCAACTGCAGTGTAATTAGGCAACATCTTGTGTAGATGCACCCAGCCACAATGCTACTGGCATTCCGAGCTGAGCCAAGAGCCTTATGTATCAATCTCTCCTTCCCAAGTCCATCAGCACAACTCTATGGAAAAAGGTGTACCACAAGGTAGGGGTGGAGCCAGGGCTAAGAGTAACCCTTTCTTCCCTTCCTTCATCTGAAAGAGACAAAACTGCTATGATACTTTACCCAGGAACTAAACCCATAATACTGAACAGGCATCTCAAATAGTAAAGTAAAATTTCAGAAGAGTCCTAACTCCAAATAGAGATTATAAGCTTATGTAAACCTCAGAATATGCAGAATTAGTTAACTATGTACCTCCTTTAACAAGGTGGTTTATTTAGGCACTTATCAAATAAGGCCTAGGAAACTATTCAAAAGATTCATATGGTACCTTTGTGGTTTAAGTGAATTCCAACCCATCACACTAAACAAGGTATAGAAAAAGGTAAGGAGTTGATAAGCAAATACTGAATTTTTAGATGGGGGAGGTTCAAAAATGTCTATCAGGAAAATGTACCTGATCCCCTTTCAAAAATCATCGGGACTCTGAAACATTCCAAAGGCCTTTTAGAGTAGTTGAGGCATGTGACTCTTGCCTCCTTCACTAACAAAGAGTGATGAAAACTTATTCAGAGAAAAGTACAGAGGCCTCTGTCACCTAGTTCCTTCTCCATTGCCCTTCTTCAATCTTAAGCAGTGGTCAGATATTTGTCTGCAAAAGACTTGTACTGCTCTGATCCACTGCAGGACTAAGAGAGAAACTGAGGTTAAGGGTATCTGAGGAAACAAAAAATGTATTTTGTCATGTCAGTCACTCTTGAAACATTCTGTGAAGTGGTCACAAGTGTTCACACTCTACACATATGCCAATGTAATATTAAATAGCTTAACTTAACTGCCCTGCCAGGCTGTCAAGAGTGTCAATAAGGAAGTCTTCAGGCTCAATTGTTAACTAGCCTAACTTTTGTGTTCAGTTGGGTTGGCAAGTATATCACCAACATGGCTACCACCAAAGTTATCAGTTACTCACATGAGGCAGTACTTTTTATCATCTGTGATGACTTTTAAAATCCTTGAGCTCAATGTGACTGGACTGTATGCCTACCAAAAGTCAATGAGGCTGAGCCTATATGCAGTAGGTTTCAGGAATGAAGCCATGGACATTTAAGTTAGCCAACGGTAACCATCATGACCTGGAAGGTAACTCAGGTTATAATGATGCTATTGTACCCAATTTTAATAAGTTACTTCATAGTAAATTTATTTTAAATGCTTATTATTATTATGACAAAAAGTGCTATGTTAGGGATTAATGATAGTTAAACCCCCAGGATAAAATTCTTCATAAAAAAGGAAGATGTCACTCAATAATTACCTTTAGGAAAATTGTATAGCTTAATCTCTCCTCCATCTGAGCCACCAGAGTAGAGTCTCCCTAACGACAGGCTGTGGCAGTTACAAGATGGTCATGAGCCTCCAATTCCCACTATGGACAAACAATTAGCAAAGGGTAGGTACTGACTGTGGCTTTGTAGTAACTGTCTTTGTTTTGTGCCCATCTTTACCCCATGGTAAATAAAACCTAAATTGGGGTAGCATACCTTGTTTCATGTGGAGGAAAACTGCTCCAATTTAACTCTGTGAGGTAATAGCAGGGCACCAGGAGTGTCTGTGACATGAGGTAACAAAAAAATATCCATCTGTAAGAGGGATTGTGACAACAAAAAATTTGGGACACAAGACTTTTCTGAACTTCTTGTGTTAAATCTTTACCCAAACCATAACATTGTAGGGAAAACTTGATCTAAGAGTTTACCAGGTATAAAGAGCTGAGACTGATGAAGAAAATGGCCAGGAGTGAATTTAAGCAATTACATCAGTTTGATATTTAAGAAAATCCAGGTAGGGATAAAGGCAGCTACTTCTTGGGACTGGGCATCAGTGCCTTACCTGAGATTAATGTAAAACAGCATTATTACTCCTTCTGCTTGAGGAAGAGGATTTAGGCACATTCTGTAATTAAATGCATCACACAAATAAAATATCTGACTCCTGGTTACTGATTTTGGCTCCAAATGGGAAACTGGCTTGGCCCCAAAATCTCTGCTCAACAAGCAGCAATGTATGAATAAAATGACAGGTAAAAATAGCTGGATTATTTAATATCAAGTAATTTGGGTTTATTTTTAAAATCTTAAGATGTATGAGCATATCCTAATGCTGACAATCTTAGGCATAAGAAAAAAGTCACAGCATTTATTGCTAAAAGGTTGCTAGAACTTTGAGAATTCCTCAAACACTGACAGAGCTCACTTCTATTCTTGAATCTGAACATTTATGGGTAGAAGGCCTATATCCATTTACAGAAGAATAAACCAAAATTTCAATGTCTTATCATAAAATTAAATATTAAAAAGATACTTATAGAATAGTTTTAATGTGAAAAAGGGACATAAAACTAATCCATTCTTGTGACTAGTAAAAACAGCTGTTTAACAAGACAGTCCATCAATGCTCAATAGTTAAACTTCTCTTAAAGGAAATTTAAAATCTTATGTAGCGTAACTGGAGAACGCCTTTTAAAAGAATAAAGCTGTTAAACCACTTTCATTTTAAAAACAATGTGTGATCCTACAACAATGTTGAACAGGATTCATTTTAGAAACGGAAATGCCGGAAGCCTGGCAAGTTGCCTGTATTCATAAACACATTTATACACCATCTTCAAATTGTATTCTCATAGTCACCTTCATATGCCATATGCAAGGAACAAAGCCAGCAAAAGGTTCAAGAAAACATGATTCCATCTTTCTGGTTTACCAAACTCCTGGACAGTCCAGCCAAATTCTATAATTTTATAAGAACTCACTCAAACTGCTTGTTTACAGAAGCAGTCCTGCTGCTGATCAGCAAAAACTCATGGCTTACTTAGAGGTTTTCGAAATTTACTTTGAAGAAAAATTCTTGGAACACACAGGCCTTCTTTCCTATTCACTGTTTCCCGCAGCACATACTCATTGACCACTTGCTCATATCCTTCAGCCATAAAAAGCTGAGACAAGAACTCTGCAAGATAAGAAAGATCAATAAATTTAGGATATGTTTTAAAACACCAATTAGCATGCAGCTGTTATTTAATACTGTATTTGCTTGCTTACAACATTCACCTTTTTCAAAAGAAAAAAAAGAAAAAAAAAAAACAACTCCTAGAAACTGGGGAGCACATTATAAATGAAGAAATACAGGAATACCAGTTTCTGCCACTTAAGTTTCTTTTGGGCAAAAGCAAAAGTAACTCTGCACACAATCTGCAGGGAACAGAACAGTGAACCCAGCTGCTGCTACTCTGTTACTTACTATGTGTAAAGATATTTTTTATTTTTTTTCTGCCTTTCAGAAACAAGCTGTTGAAATTTGATTAAAACAAAAGGCCTCAAAGTCAGTTCCAGAATGACTGCAGACTGAACCTCTGCAGATGTGACAACCAACTTGGTCAGCAAAATAAAGGAAGGAATCAATGGGCATTTTATACAGGTGCTCTGGGAGTGCGTGTGGGGGGAGCTGCTCTAATTAAAGCGCCTGAAGTGTCTCGAGTATCAGTGTCCCCCCTACTGAAAAATCGCAGTGGAGGCATTTTAACTAAAGCTCATTGAACAAACTTTAGTGAAAGCGCCCCTGCCGCCATTTTTCAGCACAGGGATGCAAATAAATGAGATGCTGGAGTCTGCTGGAGCACGGTAATTACCATGCTCCAGCAGACTCCATTAATTGAGTCTGTTTCAACATGCTGTAATTATAGTGTGTCAAAGCAGCCTTGCTGCATGTGTATAGGCACCCGATATGTCCAGCTAAACCCATAATGAGATCCAATTAAACCGAGCACAAGGCTTGAAAGGAGATCCTATAAATAAGACCTTAAATTAAATAAGCCAAGTATATTATATCATAAATTTATCTTAAAATGTTAGCAGTAGTGATTGATGTAACCAAATGTATTAGATGCTTTTTCGCTATAATAGATATATTTTTGTTAAGATCCTTGAATAAACTGTAAAAACAAAGCAGCTTTGTCAGTGAAGACAGTATACTAAGGAGAAGAGAAAACATGATGGTGGCAAGCAGCAGCATTCCATAGTGGTGAATGAAGGAGATGAGAGACATTTCCTTTTCCTTTCCCAAGGACATAAATCCGAACTCACTGATACCTTCCAAGTGAAAGAGAGATCAGTCCCCAAGGTTTCAGTGAAATGAGCACTGGTTCCATGGGCAGGGACATGCAGGTTGCGGATCACAGATCAGCTCTTCCTTGGGCCCCAGCCCCATGCTGTCATTGTCCAGCATACTGGAGTCTCCATGGAGACCAACTGGGACCCAGGTAGGCAGGGCACGTGGCAGGGTAGATGGGATGGGGCCACGGGCAGGCAGGAAGCTGCATCCAGAAGTAGGATAGACAGGTGGAGCCGGATTCAGGATCTTGTAGTGGTGACAGCGCAGGGCCAGAGTTGCGATCTGCTCCCTGCATGCCCCATCCATAGAAATGGCAACCTTTGCAGGGATATGGAAGCAAAGGATTGTGACTCTACCCTTGGCCCTGGCCCCATGCTGCCACCTCCCTGTGTTTCTGACCTGTGATCCTGGCCCAGGGCCAGTGGCCCTGCCTGCCCATCCTGTTCCCGGATGCTACTACCCACCTGGCCATGGTCCCATCCTGTCCACCTGGCCGTGCACCCTGCCTGTTTGAGTCCTGACCCTGGCAACAGGTTCAAGCAGATGGGCTGGGCTCAGTGGCAGCTGGAAGGACCTGCTGCCACCAGAGCTGCCAATAAGTGAGTTCAGCCATGGCGCCGCATCACACCATACCACCCCACCTCTGCTGTGTGCCTGGGGGCAGTGGGACCAGCCGTATGCACCACAGCCTAGGCTGCGCCCCACACCTGGGTCAGGTGGAACTAAGGGAGGCCAGACAAAATCCCTTGGTGGGCTCGATCTGGCCCGTGGGCCATATTTTGCCTAATCATGGGGTATAAGCTACACGGAAATTTGGAGAGCTGAGCAAATTCAGGAAGACCTGCTGCCAATCTGCATGCCAACCTCCTCTTCCCTCTCAAGTCTCCCCTGCCAGTATAGGTAAGAATCTATGTTGTGCTGTCACAGGTAGCCATTGGACTAAATGCCTGTTTTAGTGTTTTGTAAGGTAAACAATAGAAGTTTGGGCTGAATACCTGTCTCTTGCCTCTTTTATGAGAAGCCAACCTGTAAGTTTGTGTGTAAACCACGTAAGAAGACACAGGCCTCAGGCTGGCTCTATCACCCTAAGTTTTCAAGTCTGAATGCATGCTAGGTAAACAAAAAGGGAATGATGTGGCAAATGAGACACACTTACAATGTCTCCACAGTCTGAACTTATACCTAGCAACAAGCATAGGAACCCTCAGCAGAGTCTCTCTTTCCCCAGAAGAGACAGAAACACCCAACAGACAGGGCACCAGACAGGGAGTCGACAGAGGCTCTGTTATTAGCTCTGCAATTGATCTGCTGTGTGATCCGAAACAAGTCATATGCTTGCTCTGTGTCTCTGCTTTTCCTTTTAGATCCTTATTTAGGAAGTAGACTTAGGAACTAATGAGTAACGTGTTTTTACAGAAAAAGAAATACAAATAAATGCTACAGCAATCGAACAATTTCAGCTGAAATTGAATCTGCTTGTGAGTGCTACCCAAGCAATGTTCAGTACATAAAGATATACATTCCGTTGCCAGTTAAAAAAAAAAAAAAAAATCAATTAAGAAAAAACAAACAAACCCTGATTCCCTAAGTCAGTGAAATGGACAAGACCCAGCTGATTCCCAGCACTGTCCAAAAAGTATCACTCAGCTTTTCCACATAGCAACTACTTGATCTCCCATGACAGGCAGGGGGAGGAGGGGGGAGAACATCTCATAAGCCAAATATTGCTTGTATAGAACTCTGCAATCATTATATGATGGGGAAAAGCTCCCAAACTTTTTTAAAAATATATTTAAGGTGGATTGTGTCTTAACAGACTGATTATGCAAGTCCATAAGAGAGTCACATAATGCCCTCTTGTGCCCAAGTCAGCTGAATGTATAATACAAAAGTGTTCATGTATTTTTAGCAGACTGTTTTGCCTTTTTTCATAAGTGATATTCACTCTGTCTACATTTGCTTTTCCTTTTATCCCTCTCCCTAATCTGTTTTGTTTCTTTCAGCTGGAAAGGAGGAAGAAAGCCAGCTTCATGTGACCAGCCACCCTCATGGACCACTACCAAGTAGCTCATAAAGCACATTTCAGAAACCTCTGAACTAGACATATGTTAAAACCATCAGAATTTTGGAAAAAACAGACTTACTAAACCACACCTAAACCCAAAAGGAACATACATGGATGAATACTGTATAGCTCCTTGCTTTATAACAGAAGAGGTTATAGGTTGTTTTCACATAACTATAAAAAACAGGCAGCAGATAGTAGCACATCCTCAACATTCAAAAACCACACCTGGCAAGAACCAAATACTTAATTATGACATCTTAAGCTTCAAAAAGCCAACAGGGGACTCGATTCAAAATTCCTTAAATCGAGACTGGTTCTTTGTTCCCATTTTTCAACAGCAGAGTTCAGCTTGTTCAAGTTAATAGTTTAAGTAGAACAAAAACTATTAACAGTAAAAGGACCCTAAATGTACTTAAGTGAAATTACATTATTAAATTTCACCAGAAACCTATGAAGAATGGAAACGGCTTGGGAATTATTAATTAATATAGTTTTATTTTAAAGGGAATGTGATTTGGTAGTATACTACGTCATCAAATATTAAGATTTAGTTGGCTACAAATTGACCTCTTGAGTGGCTGAGTATTTCTTCCAAGGGAAAAAATATTTATTCCACAAAGGCCTAAACTCGCAGGAAGTATTTCTGCAATACTAACTCGGACAGCAGTTCTCAACCTCAGTAGACTCAAAGCACCTTTTGGAAAATGCCAGCTTAGTTTTCACTTACTTTTTTTTTTTGACTACGGAAAAACAATGGAGCAGTTTTTTTTCTTTTGCAAAGAACTCAGAAAGACCACAACAGATTGGAATATTTTTGACACTATGGATTCCTGTTTGAAAATTCATCTTGTGAATCATGTTTTAGCCTAATACCTAACAATGCTATCACTGCGTGGCACTCTGTGGCACCCCTGAAAGGATCTCAAGGCACTCCAAAGTGCTGCAACACCCTGGCTGAAAATCACTGCACTAGGAAATATGAAAACAGAGTTATCATATCATATCATATCTGCTGTACCAGACTGTGGGCAATCTGCTTAACTGTGGGGGGCTTCAGGTTCTTCATTTGCAAAATGCAGACAATGTTCTTTTTCAGAAAGACCTTTAAGCACTGAAGGAAAGTCTATATAAATATTGTGAATATCATAATAAAATGTTTTACTAAAATCTTTACTAACACATAGATAGAAGAAGTATGTTGGCTTCGGATCAAGCCTCATATATATATAAGAAAGAATGTTGCAGAAAGATGGTCACAGGATAACTGCATCCCTTGCATGATGAAACAGGAGACCAAGCATTTTCTTAAGCATATTCCTCTCTTTCATTTTGAGCATTTATCTGAATGAGGCCCCTGTAACTAAAAAGTTCTAACTTATGCTGCTCTTGTGTTACAATGGCACAATCTATGAAACAAATCAAATTGCTGTCTAGCTTGGTTTCAAAGCTAGGGGTTGGAAAAGCTCTCCTCACAGGATTTAAATGCTTCCTGTACCACCCACATCAGTCCCGCCAGTTGAAAAATAACTGTAAAATGATGGCAAAGGAATTACAGTAAAATTTTATAAATAAACCCTATAGGCACAATAGGAATTTAAACATTTAAATGAAAAAAAGACTTCAAGAGAGGAAAGAACATGTAAATGTCTTACCATGAGTAAAAAAATATGATCGTGTTCCATCTTGTCTAACATAAAAGTTGTCTCCAAGCTTGCTGCCAGATTTAAACCTGAGCATTGAATGATCATAAAGCCCATAGTCTCTAAACAAGACACATTTGCCTGGTTTTAATACCTGTTAGATAAAATATGCACACATCATTAAAGTATGTGGACTTGGCAAAAAAAAATATTCACATACAGAAACACACATTTATCATTCCATGGCATCTTAAAACATTATTAAAGTTAAATAAAGAAATCATGTCATTTAGTTTGATTTTACTGAAAACAAGGTTGAGCAAGACATTCTGCCTCCACACCACTTCTCTGTGAAAACAGAAAACTACAACAATGACTGCTGGAAATGGTATGATTTTTCAGTAACTATTTTCCAAAAAAAATCCAAACTACCAGTACAACTAACTATTGATTTTATGTTACTAAATATAATAAATAATCATGTTGCTTTCAAATAATTCATGTATGTAACTTTCACAGCTCCACAAATGGTAGTTGCATCCTTTAAAACAGAGGAGGGAGAGCAACCTTTTTTGGCAAGAATGTCACAAATTAGCCTTGCACCATCCTCATGTGCTTCTCCAGTCCTCTGCCTACTCTGCTCCCTACTCTGTGCTCCCAGCCCAATCTATTCTGTTTTCTGCTTCCTTCCCTGTGCCCCATGCCTCATCTCCCCTCCCTGATCTACCATATGCCATACACAGAGACTGCCCATGCCATGTGTGGCACTCATGTAGCAGGCTGGCCACTCCTGCTTGAAAAGAGATTTGTGGCTTGTACATTTCTGCAGAAATTTACAAATAGGTTAAAGGAGTCAACCACCTTCACATGCAAAACGGTGATTGGGTTTTCAGCCTTGTTCAAACTTAAGAACTATTCCCTTTATAGAAAGTAACCTTAGAAATATGCCAAAACCCAAGGCTCCTTATTCAAACTGTAACTGGTATGCTACACAGAATATCCTGTAATATATAAGGATAAAGAATTCTGTAAAATACATTATACTATTTTTTCCTGGAAAATGTTGCAAACAATAAAAAAATGTTATCAGAACATTTGAATCTCTTTCCAACAACTGGCTGAAATTTTTGGATTACAGTACTACCTACAGTGCACTAACTGCTTTGCATTTATCAGCCCTTTGTTACAGGAACACTCCTGCAGGATACTGTGCACTTTTAACTAGAGTCAGAAAAACTTATCACTTTGTTGAATGATGTTCTATTGCTCCTCATTTGTTTCTCTCATAAAATCTAAGGATATGATCCATCCAAAGGCTTACATACATACTTAACACTGTCGGGTGTGAGCAATCCCATTGTTTTACATTACATTTCAGAGGGAGTACTCAGTCTACAACATTAAGTTCATAAATGTTTGCAGGATCAGACCCTCAGTCATTACCAACACACACAGCCAATCTCTCAGATTTACTAAGTGAAAAATGTAGTGCAAAATTATTTTAGTCCCTACAGAAAGCAAATATAACTACTGTAATTACATTCAGAGAGTGTTACATAAAGGATGCCATTATCTCACAGGACCTTTTCAGAATAGAACAGCTCTTTTAAACCAGAAAGAAAAAGAAAAAAAAATGTTAAATCATACTTAATTTACCTTGTAAATATTTTGCAAGACCAGATGCATTTTGTCAGGGTGAATGGCAGAAAGCACAAATATTAATAAGACAACATCCACAGAATCTGCTGGTATATTTTCTAGAAGCTCATCTTTAGTAAGATCACACTGGAAGACTTTACACCTCTCAATATTATATGAAGGGTTTTTCTAGGAAGTGAAAATATTTTGCCATAACCATAATTGAAAAGAGCAGCATTTATTATAAAAATAGAAAAAAATTAAATTTTGATTTTTTTCTTTTAATCAGGAGAATAACAAAAGGACTGCAAAAGTAAATTAAAACTTTCTGGTAGGAAAACTTTCTGGTTGAGATGAGGTACACACAGATCTTTTACCTAAAACTGGCAATACAATCCATTCTCAATGATTTGGGAAATAAATAAGAAAGAAGAGATGGACAACAGAACAATTTATGAGTCTTACAGGTACCTCTAACCTACCAACCTTATTCTAAATTAAAATGGAATTCAGAGTATCTGGAACAATTTTGCAAACTATAGTCCTGTAAGTCAGATGGCATACAACCAAATTCAATTTTTAATTTCTTTTGCTGACTGGTCCTTTGAAGACATATATTTACATCTATAAATTGATTTATATATACTTTTATATACTTTCGCATTTGAAATTTATAGAAAAATCAAGAGAATCTTAAAGGCCCAATGTCTCTTTAAATCTTTATGAAAAAATTATTATAATGTATATAATATAATAATTATAATGAATAAATATAAATAGTACTGCTCTTTCTAGTTGATCTTCAAGTTTCTTTGAAAATAACCTCCGTGTCACTGCTTTCACAATCACCTTCATCCACTACCTCACAAAAAAATTAAAGTATCATTTATGAACATATATCCTAAAACAAGTTTTGCTTGTACTTCGAAATGTGTGGTTTGCATTGAAACAGTACTAGTCCCAATGTAACTTTTAAGAACTATCTAAGCAGAACAGCTACTCACACTTATTACTACAGAAACACAGCTTAAAAATAGGTTCTACGTAATGATTCAATTTCTTGTATACAGTATTAAGCTCCAGTGTGTCCATTTCATACATCCATACCTTACAATTTACCATCTTTATAGAAGAAAAGGAACCAAGCAATGCAATTCTATCATTCCTGTAATGTGGAGTTTTACAGAGCCCAACTTTCTGAAGCAGCACTAAAAAAACAGACATAGCACACCAACCTTCACATATTCAACAGCTCTTGGTGAGAAATCACAAGCATAAGCGAAGATATTGAAGTCCTCTTCTAAAAGTGGAAACAAGCAGTTCCCAACCCCACAGCCTGCTTCAAGAATAGTCAGTTTCTGATTTTTAAACTAGAGGTGAAAAAGAAGTCAATGACATACCGTATCACTTTTGTTTCATTCTCAAAATGTAAAGATATTGATTGTCACATTTTATAGTTACTATCAGTTTCACTTATCATCAGTTCAAAATCTGAAAAATCCTTCCACTTGCAATTTGACATAGGAAATATAGGCTTTACTTTGTGCTATATTATGCATCTCTACAGAGCCATTAATATGTCGTTATTCATCTATCCATTTTGGTAATGAGCAAGCTACTGTATCTACTTTACCCCATCTCTGATTTAATAAGGTGAACAAAGGATACACCTCAATGCTTTTTTTTACATTCATATTTTAATATACCAACAGCTCAAGCTAGATGACTTCATATTAAGGTGAATTAACAACATTTCAAATTGGGTTTAAAAATCTTAGATCTGAGATATGTGAACTCTAATACAGGTCACAGGAGAAAATATTCCAAAGTCTGGTTCTAAATGTATAAGACAGGTCAACTATAAATAGTTACAGACTTCATAAAGTGATTTAACTTTTTAAAATTTCTGAAGCCTTCGAGTAGGCAATAGTTATAGAGGTACTGAAAGTGCAACTGAATGCACGATGCAGCATGAAAGACTTGAAGTATAACAGTAAAAGCCACTGTCACCGCTTCTCTGGTCTGTAAGGGGGACCTGAAATCATTTGAAGATGACTGGAAGGCAAGGATTTTTTTAGGGCAGTATCTTTTATTGGACCAACTGCATAGTTAGGATGAATCAGATAAGCCTTTGAATGCAAGGCATTTTTCATTAGATGTCTTACGCTGGAAAATTTATCCAACTCCATCCCAACTGTGCAGCTGATCCAAGAAAAGATATCGCCCAGAAATATATCTTTGCCACCCAGTTTCTGGACCATCATAGCCACAACATCACTCTAGCACTACCATAACACTTGAAAATAATTAGTAACATCTGTTTCTTTATTTGTAGAACTAGTGCACATAGCTTACCTCACAGCATGCTTTTAACTCTTCAAACTCTCTGGTTGTCCAGTGTCTGTCTTTGAAGAAGTTGGCGCTATTCCTTTTGTAAAACAGATCCCAGTTCTTCTGGGCCTCTTTCTCCAGTTTTGATTGTTTGAAGTCAGATATTAAAGTTTGATCTCTTGCAAGTTTCTCGGCTTCTTCAGCACTAAGAGTCCTTATGCTGTGCGCTTTCTTCTGGAAAGCGCTGCCTTCACAAGTTGGGGCTATTACATTTGGGTGACTGGCAAACACGTCTTCCTGGGACATTATGGATTCATCCATATGAATATCAACACAGCAGATTTAAAGTGGTTTTCTTCCTTGGCTGTGTATTTCTATTTCAGATAAGGCAGCCTAGGCCCTACAACTGTCAGAAGGAATGAAAAAGAGATTATTATTGTCTTCACATCTTGGGAGAGGCTTTGGGGGGGGGGGGGGG